TGCTTTCAAGATGCTGTCTTTATCTTTGATTTTGGAGAGCTTGATTAGTATATGTCTTGGTGATTGTCTTTTAGGGTCTATCCATCCTGGGGTTCATTGAGCTTCTTGAATAGTTATCTTTTCACTTTTCTGGAAGTTAGGAAAATTTTCTTCCAGAAGCTCTTCAACTATCTTCTCTGTGGACTTGTGTGATTGTTTCTGTTCCAGAATGCCTATAATTCTTAAGTTATTCCTCTTCATGTTGTTCAACATAAATCTTAGGCCTTCTTCAGACTTTTTTTTATCCTTTTTTGTGTTTGCTCTTCTACCTTAGTAGTGTTGAGAGATTTATCTTCTAGCTCAGTAGTTCTGGCTTCTAGCTCTTCAATTCTACTCCTTTGCCATTTAGTGTATTGTCCATTTCTGATATTCTATTATTAATCATTTGGACCTTTTTCTGTAAGTTTTGAATTGTTTCCTGTGCTGTATTTATCTTATTTGATTGTTCCTGTAGTGCTTTCTTGACGTCTTCCTTATTTTTCTCAACTCCATTGTATAGTGTTTTGATACATTTTATAATTATTTTTCTGAATTCCTTCTCAGGCATTTCCAAAGCCTGCCCATCTTCCAGTATGGAGTGTCATTGATACATTTTATAATCATTTTTCTGAATTCCTTCTCAGGCATTTCCAAAGTCTGCCCATCTTCCAGCTCATTTGCCTCAGTCACTTTATCTCGTTTCTGGACATGTGCAGATATAGTTATCTGCTTCAGTTTGGGGCATAGTTAGGGGTTATCTGTGATCTTAATACTTAGATGGGTGTGTATTTTGCTGTTTTTTATGCTTTCGGATTGCCTCCAAGTAGATGTGATCAGGAAATGGGCTTCCCTTTTCACTCTTCTTGAGAAATTTCAAGATGCCACTGTTGGTCATTGTGACGTAATTTAGGATTTAATTTTTGCTTATTTCCTTTTTTGTCTACTTGTCCTGCTCCACAATTCCCATTCAGGCCTTTTTTCTAGTTATAAACAGTTCAGGGCTGGCTGTGGCCGTTTGGTTTTAAGTGGAAACTCTCTCTTTAAATTTCGAGGAGATCTGTGCTCATGCGTAGTAGAACCCTCCAAGGGTGGGGCTGGAGTGTCCACTAGCTCAGGAACCCCTACAGTTACCAGAATGGAGGTGCACAGACAGCAAGGGACCAATGAACAGCTACCCAAAAAAAAGAATGTCCACACCTTTTTCTCTGCGCTTCTGTCAGACGTCCGTGGTTGCTCTGATCCTTTCCCCACTTGGTCTCACCCAAGATGGCGGCTCCTTGAGCACCTGAGTGTCTTGAATTAGAAAACAATGGATTTCTTGCTTTTGCTACAAAAGCTGTAAGCCTTCCAACCTTCTAAATATTCGTTTATATGTGGTTCAGAGTTCTGGGACCATCCCCTGAGCCTGCTTGGTCCTGTATTCTGTGTTGTTGCTGACAGAGCTTCTTACTGCACTTTGGCCCGATCTGCTATCTTGTTTGTTCTTCCCACTTCCATCTTTTTAAAAAGGAAACTTTGTATCACTGCCTGGGCTGCAAAAACCAGTCTGACTAATCATAAATAGAAGAAATGTAATTGGAATAAAACAATGTGATAAAACCCTAAACCCAGCAGCACTCTGGCTTGGTTACATAGAGATGAACTGGTATTTGAGTGCCTTGAAGTGCTAAAGGCCGTAACCTGAGCCATGCCCTGACATAAGCAGAAAGTTTCAGAGACTTGCAAAGGGTATCACCGGTCCTGTTCCTGAAGCTCCTGGTAGCCCCTCACACATACCATGCTCATAAGTGCACTTCTGGACTGAGGGCAGCAGCCCCTTTCCTGACTGCTCTGAGGTGTGCTGTTCCAGATAGGGACCCCAGTCTCAGACCTTCTGATAGGTCTCATCATAACATGCTCCTGTAAGGATGGTCTAGTACTTGCCCTCTTCATTTTAAATATGGGAAACAGAGGCTCGGAGAGTGGGGTTGGGGTTGCCCTGGGCCGTACAGCTGCAGTGCCCGAGTTGTGGGGCAGGGTAAGGGCTGGATACTTTCTAAAGGGTGTGGAGTCCTGACTTGGCACACAGGCTCCTGCCCCCCACTCCGTGCTGGCCTACCCGGACTTAGTAGGAGTGGGGGAGGCTGCCAGCAGACTCCTATGGGGCTTCTTGGGGAGGCCTGGCATTGGCTGCAGTCATGTTCATTTAGCAAACATTTGTTAGCACTTGCTGGTGGTCCAGGAGATTCAGGGATGGAATTGATCTCTAGTCTGGCCCTCATGGACACTGGGGGTGGGGTGGTGAGAGACAAGAGACACAGATAATTCTCCAACTGATAGATTAAGATTATAAAAATGGCACAAAGGAGAATTCCAAGGTGCCCTGGGAACCTGTCCTTGGAGTCTGGAATCAGGGGGACTTCCTATAAGAAGTGCCTTTAAGGCTCTGGTGAAGACCTAGGGTCAGAAAGAGGTCTGGGACATTTGGACAACCAGAGTGTGGACAGAACAGAAAGGATGAGGGGAGAGTGAAGGAAGGGGAGGCTGGAGTGGAGGGGCAGGTCAGAGGTCAGATGGTACAGGAGCCTGGGGCTTGGGGTAAGGAGAACTCCAGGGGATTGGGAAGTATAGGAATCTTTTAAGCCTTAAAAATGAGAGATATGATCAAGTGTGTGTTTTAGAAAGATCCCTCTGACTTCCCTGTGAAGAGGTGTGTAGTCAGAAGTCAGGCGGTAATACTGTGGGCCAGGAGAAGGCTTCATGTCCCCCAAACCTGTGGCAGCTAGATAGAGCCTCCTAGACATTATTCTTGGGGTGCTTAGGGACTGGAACCCCCTGGGACTCCCCTTCATCCTTTAGTGGGTAGGGGCAGCCGCTGTTGGGCAAGATGACAGTTTGCAAGGGTGGATGCCAGATGTCAGAAATGGTTTCTGAAAGGAAGCAGGATTCTTCTTCTCAGACGATACCTGTGGAAGACAAAGCAGACCCCCCAGAGGGGTCTGAAGAAGCTGCAGAGCCCAGGACCGACACACCAGAAGGTGAGGGAGGGAGACTCCGGGCCCTTCAGAGGGGACATGGGTTGGGACAGGTAGGCATAAGCGTCGGCGGGTAACAGAGCCAGATCTGGGAGGCAGGGGAGCTAACCTCCCCCTCTTGGATCAGAGAAGGAATGGTGTGTGTGGGAGTGAACCCAGGCTTCCCCTCCTGAAGCTAAGTGTTCACCCAGCATCTATGGTCCCACAACTGCCCTCTATTCCAGGGCAAGAGTCCCCCCATTGCCCCGATGGTGTCACTAAGGAGAAACACCCCTCAGCACTGGAGTCAGAGCCTTGTGAGGCACTGGAGCCACCAGCCAAGAGGTTAAAAAGGTAAGTGATGCTGACCACCTGCCCGTGCCTCAGGTACCTTATACTCTGTACTCTCAGTCCTGCAAAGGTAGGACAGGATCCTTCAGAACCCTAGCTTCCTGTTTGGAGGAAGGTCAAACCTAATTCTGAGCCTTACCTGGGAGGGTCTCAGGCTAATTCTGTGTCTTTTCTGTGACTGGGACCCACCTGGAGGCCAGGGTTCATGTGAAAGGGTGAAGATATGCATCTAGGACCTCAGAGTTTGGGCAGGTTTACAGGGCTATGGATATATATTAGCAAGTTCTGGGAACTGGTGATTTTTTCTCTAATGTAATTTTGTGAAACAGAGGTTCAGAGAGGTGAAGGGCCTTTCCCAGAGCCCCAGCTCATAAGTGGTAGTGCAAGTATTGGAACCTGGTTCTTGGCCTTTCTTGGGAGCTCTGCTAGGGAAGACATGAATTTGATTTTTCTTGATCCTTCCTAGCTCCGAGGAGCTGACAGGGAAGGGCCACCCAGGGCAGCTGCAGGCAAAGGTCCAGCCACAGGCCCGGATGACAGTACCAAAGCAGACACAGACCCCTGAGTTGCTGCCTGATCCCCTGGAGCCCCGCATAGCACCACGATTCCCACCTGGGGTTCTGCAGATCCAGGCCCAGGTGCAGCCACAGATGCCACCAACGGACACCCAGGAACAGCCAAAGCTGCAGAAACAGGCACAAACACAGACTTGTCCTGAGCACTTAGTGCCTCAGCAGAAGCAGGTGCAGCCACAGCTGCCGAAGGAGGCAGAGCTGCCGAAACAGGTGCAGTCCCAGGGGCAGCCACAGGTACCTTCACAGCCCACAAAGCAGGCCCAGCAGCCACAGACGTATCCACAGGTACAGACACAAGCACAGCCAAGGCTTCTGCGGCCACTTGAGCAGCCTCCCGTGCAGTTGCCAACAGAGCAGAGCCAGGGGCAGCCTCAGACCCCGCCACAGGTGTTAGTGCCAATCCCAGAGCAGGCACGAGATCCAGGTCATGCCACAGTGCTGGACATGCTGCCTGAGGTGGTAGAAACTGGAGGAGGTAAGTGAGCTCTGGCTCCTCAGTCGGGACCCATTCTGACTCTGGATACAGCCTGGGATGAGGGCTGGGCTTGGGACCAGGTTCTGGCTGCCTGCACTGGAGGCCTGAGACTCCTGGGTGTGGACAGGGAAAGCAGCTATGGGGCTTGGGCCTCTCTGGACTCAGGGTGTGAGATGGAATCTGGAAAACAGAGCACATCTGTCCTTTCAGGCCTAGAGGAGGCTTCACCGGAGCCAGTGGACACTCAGGTCAGCCTGGAGGAGAGCCAGGAAGAAGCAGCCAGCCGCCTGGATGTGGCAGAATGTGAAAAACGAGCTCGAGAGATGCTCAGGGTGGGTAGAGACATTAATGTGGCAGCTGGGGACCCAACCAGGGGACTGGGGACTTGAGAGCTTCAGAATTCAGAAATGTGATGGCTTCTGTCTGCCTCAGATCACCTTAGGGCCTCCTCCAGCTTCCCCATCTGTGATATGGATGGCAGGCCTCTCACCTGGGGTGCTTAGGTAGACCGGGCTGGAGTCTTGTGGTTTGTCCAGAACTGAGTTAGACATGCCTTAAGTGCCCGGCTGGGAACAGCAGTGCTCCTGCTCCTGGTACAGGTGTGGGGTGCCGGAGGCTCCCTGAAGGTCACCATCCTGCAGAGCAGTGACAGCCGGGCCTTTAGCACTGCACCCCTGACTCCTGGGCCGCGTCCTAGTGACTCCACATCTACCACTCTTGCTGCCGCCAGCACACCTTCCAAGCACGCCCTGCAGTTCTTCTGCTATATCTGCAAGGCCAACTGCACCAGTCAGCAGGTACTGCATCCCTGAGCCCCAGGTGGGTGGGTGGAATGGGCAGGGTAGAGGGTGGAGTCTATAAGGGAGGCCCAGCCTGCCCTTTCCATAGTTGCCTTGAGTAGCACACTAGTCCCTGTGAGTTGTGCCCCTGGAAGCTGGCCAATTCCTTATGAGTCAGATGAAGAGATATCCAGAACCCACCTCATCAGGTGGTTCTGAGGATTCTGCAACTTGACAGTGAAGTCATGAAGTCCCGGCATGGCATAGTGCTCGTATTATTCCTACTATTGGTACTGTTAATCCTGTTACTCTGCTGTGTCCCAGGCAGCACCAGGAGACTGGAAGTTAATCAGGCTGTTCTTTGTCATTGAGGAGGTCACACAGCCTTCCCTCCACACATCCAGCTTCTTCCCAGGAGGGGCAGAAGCTTGAGGTGTATGCTCACTTTCTGCCTTGGATTACCTTCCCTGCACTGGCCCATGCAGGGCTGTTACGTGAGAATACTGGCCTCACAGCAATGGCTGGGTGGCTGTGAGCGCGAGGTTGGAGTCTTCCTTTCTGGACCCCACCATTGCCTGCTGCTCTGGGGCTCACAGCTCAGGCCTCTCCTTCACTCCCTCCTGCTACAGGAGTTTCAGGACCACATGGCAGGGGCCCAGCACCAGCAGCGTCTTGGGGAGATCCAGCACATGAGCCAAGCCTGCCTCCTGTCTTTGCTGCCAGTGCCCCGGGATGTCCTGGAAAGAGAAGAGGAGTGAGTGTGTGTGTGGGTGTCTCAGAAACTTACTGCTGGGGAGTGAGCAGTCTTACGGGGTGGGGAAGGCTGAGCTTTCCAGAAAGGCTCTAGATCTACCTTTGGGTTAAAATACTACCCTCTCCTGGAGACCTCTCCACATAGTTAATTGTGTCATCTGAGACCTCAGTATTCCCCATTTGTAAGTTAGCCTGGTGAAGGGTATAGTATTGGAATTCATGGGTTAAATAGTCTCTGAAGGTCCCATCCAGATAGGAACAGTGTGAGCAACCACATGGGAGGGTCGTGCTCCCTGGTATATGTGCTCACCCTAACCATGGGGCACAATGGTGAGGAGCAGGTCATCCTGTTACCCAAGGTTAGAGCCTCCCTGCTTCTCCCTGCTGGATTGTCACAGGAGTTCCCGGTCACAAGTGTCCCCTGTCATGGGAAAGGCCCAGTGGGAAGCTGGAGGACCTTTCCTGATTCTGTGGGTATCATCAGCAAGAAAAATGGATAGTGTAGGCTCAGGCCAGCTGGGGGACATGGACTCTTGACTCTGTAACAGCTGTCCCTCAAGTCCATATCCCAGTTTCCTACGAGGATCCAGAAACCCAGATTTTTACGTGAACTCTCCCAATTTCTCAACACTTACAGCTAGTTCAGAATTAAAGCAAAACAAACACTATAGAGATCAAATCAAATCCATCTCCAGGCTGGAGAGTCAGGGAGTGGGCTCTGAGAGTTTATAAGGGCCACAGCCTGAAGCTCCCCAAATGGGTATAGGGACAGGAAGAGTTGTTGGGAGGCCTATGAGAAATGTCACCGCTTGCACACCTCCAGTGATAGGGAGCTCATTCTCTCTCTGCAGGGGCAGCTTGTGTCTCAGCCCACTCCCACTAGAGAAGAGCTTCCTTACGTGATTTTGCAATATGTTCTTACGGCTGTGGGAGAAAGATAAGGCCATCTATTTCTGTAGACTTACAATCTCAAAAACCCTAAGGAGCAGTTCTACTCTGTCATATGTAAGGTTGCTATGAGTCACAATGGACTTGATGGTAGTAGAGATTTTGTTTTGTTTCTTCAAGACTTAAATCTCCAATTGCTGTTGATCCAGGAATTAGACTAAAGTGAAAGAATCAAATATAGGAAAAATGAACACAAAAGATATTCCTTGTAAGATTTATATAATGGTGAAAAGATAATTTAATTGAAAATGATTTAAAATATCCAAAATTAGGGGCTTGGTTAGATTAGTTAAGACCTGTCCACTTGAAAGAACAACCAGTAAATTGAATAATTGCAGGAATATATAATACTGTGAAGGAGTCCTGGTGTGGCGCTGTGGGCTACTGCGTCAGACTGCAAAGTGGTTTGAACTGCAAGGTCGGTGGTTCAAGCTCACCAGCTGCTCCTTGGAAACCCTATACAGGGTCGCTACGGGTTGGAATTGACTCAGCAACACTTAACAACAACATAATACTGTGAAAATATATATGATACAGTGCCAAGTTAAAATAGGATTCAAAGCTGTGTACTGCAATTGTCTATGTAAGAAGAAAACTGGTTGTGTGTAACCCTGGTTGTTTACAAGTCTGGAGGAGAGGATTTGGGATGGGGAGGAAAAATTAATCCTTCAGATAAGCTAGTTATCCTTTCTTCATCTAACACAGTCAGAAATTCTGGGCTGATTCCATGCCTTGCCCTGGGGAATCTGAGATGGAGTCCAATGAGGGTGGAGAAGTGATCAAGTCCTCCCAGTCCTTCGTGGAGAATACTATGGCAGTGGAACTTTGGGACCCCAGAGGCAGGAGAGCCTGACTTACTGGGATGGGAAGAGGTCCAGGAATGGGGGCTTCTACAAGACACGTTTTGTTAGGGATAGGGCAGTTAAACTGAAGAAAAAATGGTTTTCAAGGTCATAGATCCTCAGTTGCATCACCACTTTGTTGGACATGTCCTCAGTGTCAGTATCATATCTGTCAGTGCCCAGCTGCACTAAAGTGTTAACAAAATAATCCCCCTGTAATACAGCATCAGAACTTGTCTAGATGCCTGAGGGATAAGGGTCAGAATCAGCACATAGCGAGTTCCTGTGATGTAGAGGTCAGACATATTTCCACCCTCCTAACTTCTTCATCATTTCTGACACTAGCCATTCTCCCATGGCATGGTCTACTTCTCTGCTGGGTTTAATAATTCATTGCAATGGCAACAGACAACTCAGAGGCCATAACTCGCATTTGTGTGACTTATCAGGAAGCACATAGGCAAGGTCCAGAAGTCTGTCCTGAAATGGAGAGTGCATGCCTTCTTCCTTCCCAAGACATCTCTCTCAGGCCCTTCTCTCAGCCATGCTAGCAGGCAGGCACTTTTCTTGACTATGTAAGCCAGAGGTCCCTCTCTTGGTCATACAAGCCTCTCTGCCTTTAGCCTACCTACCACTGGATTTTTGTCTACTAATTGGCACATCCATAGCTATTGTAACTTCTTGCTCAAATGCTGCTGTCTTAGCAGCCACTTTCTGCTGTCATTGCCAGCTCTGCCATAGGAGGCTATCTGGGTCTCTCACTGTCTTCAGTATTACAGCCCTTCACCCATATCATAGCTCCTCTACGAGGTTTCTTGCCTCTTCTTGCTTTGCTTTTTTCTCTCTTCCCCTTTGCCTCTCTTCTGAAAAACCTCGGTGAGGTTGGCCACATATACAGGCATACCTTGGAGATATTGCAGATTGGGTTCTAGACCACCATAATAAAGCAGATGTTGCCATACTGTATGTATGTGTGGCACACAGATGTTTTTGTTTCCCAGTGCATAGAAGTGATGTGTACACTATACTGTAGTCTATTAAGTTTCCAGTAGCATTATGATAAAGTTTGAAATGTAAGAATTACCAAAGTGTGACTCAGAGACATCAACTGAGCACATGCTGTTGGTGAAAGACTTGATCAACAGAGGATTTGCCACAAACCTTCAATTTGTTCAAAACAAGAAAAAAAAAAAAACACCATATTTTTGAAGTGCACTAAATGAGATATGCCTGTATTAGCAAACTCCTTGTCAATTTCAAGGCATATTCCTCAGAGTCACTTCAATCCCTTTAATCACTCAATCCTATTGCGTGGATTTTCAAGCCACTATTTACATAGCAAATGGACCAAACCTTGTAAGGCATGTAAACAGACCAATCACAGCCTAGAGTCAAATTTAAAATCCTCAGACCATCAAATTGGCTCCAGCCTACCCAGGAAATGTCCATCAGCCTAGGACAAAAGTAATAAATCCTCTGGAATAGAGAATAACCTAGGAACCCCCTTCCCCAAATTGCATCTTCAAACAACTAGGGCAAAGATAATGCCTTAGGATTTAAAGAAAATCTCGCAAGCTTTTTTCCCAGAGAACCAAGCAAAAAGCCACAAACTTATTTCGCCATACCTCCCACATAAAGGAACTTATTTTGCCATACTTCCCAATCTATGAGTGCCCTACTTGAATCTCTAACATACGGAAACCAGTACTGCCCTGTATCAGATGCGCCCTTTTCAGTTGTAAGTAACAGAATCTCAACTCACATTGTTGTTTCATCATTGAGTCAATTCTAACTCATAGCGGCCCTGTATAGGGTTTCTGAGGAGCAGCTGGTGAGTTTGAACTGCCGACCTTGCAGTTCAAACCAACCTTGCGGTCAAGTGCTTATTCTGTAGCACCACACCAGAACTCCCAGCTCATACTAACTTGTGCACAAAGGGGCAGTGGTTTTTGTACTTTTGTAATCAGGAAAGTGAAGGATACAACTAGGATTTGCAACTCAAATGATAGCCAGGAAACAACTTACCTGAGGTCCATTCTCTGCAGTGTAAGCAACTAGTCCCAGCCTCTGCATAGTAGCCCCAGCCCCAGAAGAAAGGCAGCCAATCCTCATGCAATGTTCAGTGCCTTCAAGAGATTCCAAAGCCCAGCTGTGGCCATGTGGCCATTTCTGAACCAATCACATGACCGGGGCTGGAGTTTTCTGATTGACCAGGCTTGGTTCCTATGCCTGCCCCTATATGGTAGTGTTAAATGCCTTCAGTCTTTCTGACCCCTAGTGGCCCTTGTTATGCCCAGAATTCGGGGTCCCCAAAGACCACCCAGGAGCCGTGTACCGATGCA